TTCTCCCAGATGGAATAAAAAACGGTCCACACAGACTCCTTTTGGCCAAACATCCGGAGATTTTATTCTTTCCAATTCACTCTCTGCAACGGAGACCTTGAAGGAGGCATATGTTTCCGGATGTTTTGAAGCCATTTTCTCACATTCAATATTTTTAAAAATTTTTTCATTTAAATAATTTTTTAGGGTTTCTGACGATGTTTCTGGTGCCAGGCGAAACACATGCAAGTGGGCTCTCCTCACAATTCCCGCGAGTGTAGTGCTCACATTTGTTCCTTCGATGGTCTTATTTTTTCGTTTCGGCGACTTCTTTTTCTGGACGAAAATCCAATTTCTATCGTCATTTGCTTTAATTGATTGTTGTTCAGCCTGGGTTGATTTAGTAGGCAGCTCCGTGTTGGCAACCGCATCTCGGAATGTTTCGGTTCTCCGCTTGTCTAATTCCTTCAAAGCAGTTGCTGCCGCAACACTCACCTGTTGCTTTGAGACCTTACTAGCATTGCCACTGTTTTTATTGGTAGATTTATGTTTAGGCTTCTTGGATGCTGCTTTCTCAGTATCACTATCAATATTGGGTGCAGCTGACGAAACTTCTTTTTTCTTTTCATTTGGCTTTAATAATTGCAGCATCTTAATTTTTCCTTCAAGCTGCTGAATTATGTATTCCTTGTCCTTTATTATTGTCATCTTATCGTCTATTATCGTCTATTATCGTATTTTTGTCGATAATTGTTTGCGATAAGTGGTTTGTAGTATCCATATCATTATATTGTCTAGGATCCATATGTTTGACACTTCACTGCTCACCTCACAGCACTGTATCAAATTTCCAACAATGAATTTGAAGCCTTTTCTTGTTGCACAACTCACATGGTAAATTTTGCCTCAGTTCTTACAAACACCCACACTTGCAGATGGTTTTGTTTCACAGCAGTTGTAGGATTTTTTGGAATCCGATTCCGGAATAGTTAATTGTGTCAGAGACATTACATTATATATATATATATATATATATATATATATATATATATATATTATATATATTATATAGTCTTTCGTTGACCGCCGTAACGTACAGACGTGCCGTTTTAACTTGCCGCAATGATGTCACAATCGACACCATTAGTGCCAGAATCGGAAGTGAAAAGTTCCTATAATTGCTGTGAAACAAAGGCCCCAAATGTAGGCATTTGTAAAAACTGCGGAAAAATGTACCACATTAGTTGTGCTAATAGGAAAAACTTCAAATTTCTATATCGTAATCTGATACAGTGTTGTGTTAACAGTGAAGTGTACAGTGACCATATGGAAACAATTTCTAGGCTTGAAAAAACAATTGCCGACAAAAACACCATAATAGAAGACAAAATTACCATAATAAAGGATAAGGAGTACATAATTCAGCAGCTTGAGGATAAAATCAAGCTGCTGCAATGGGTAAATCCGAATCAAAAGAAGGAGCAGGTTTCTTCAGCTGCACCCAGTATTGATATCGATACTGAGAAAGCAGTCAATAAGAAATCAAAAAAAAAGAATGGAAAAAAATCGAATGTTAACAAGGAAAAAGATCCCAGCAAAATCTCAAGTGAACAAGTTAGTGTCGCAGTAGCAACGGCGCTGAAGAAATTGGAAGAGCGGAAAATTGAAACGTTCCGTGATGCCGTGGCGTCTACCGCTTTGCCTTCCAACGCCGTCACTAACAATAAGAGCGTAACAGAAGAACAAAATTGGACTTTGGTCCAAAGAAAGAAAGCGCCAAGGCGAAAGGCCACAACTATCGAAGGCACAAATGCAAATGCCGTGATAAAAGGTGTGGTGAAGCAAGCGCATCTACATGTGTTTCGACTGGCGCCAGAAACAACGGAAGAGCAATTGGAAAATTACCTGCGGGACAAAAATTTTGAAAACCTAACGTGCAAAAAAATTGCATCCAAACATCCAAACGTATATTCATCATTCAAGGTATCAGTTTTGGAAACAGAATTAGAAAAAAATAAATCGCCGGAAATATGGCCTCAAGGAGTATGCGTGGATCGTTTTTTATTCAGGCTCCAAAAGCAACCAAGCAACGACAAGTAAATATATTAAATATACTCTGTCTGAACATTCAATGCTTATCAAATAAATCAGCTGCTTTGTCAAATGTAGTCAACGTAAATAATATTGACCTACTTTGTCTGACAGAACACTGGTTAAATGACAAACAAATCAATTTATTTAATATTCGTGACTTTCGTGATTATATAACCATAAGATGGAAATGGAACGTCAACAAAGTAATGTAATGACTATAGTTAAATCAGATAATAAACAACAAACTATATGGAATATAATAAAACAAGAAACAGGTCAAAAATATTCAAATAATATCGGAATTGGTACGCCATCAGCAAACGAATTTAATCATTTTTTCAGGAATGTAGCTGTCAATCTAACCAAGGACTTGCTCGACGCAAAGACTAGACCCGAAGCTTATTTAGCTAAGATATATGTCAGTGAGCGAAGTATGTTCCTGAGACCAACATCTCCAGAAGAAATTGTTACAGCGATTAAAAAGATGAAAAACAAGACATCACTTGACGCTTTTGGACTAAACGCTAAAATGATCAAACCAGTAGCCGAGTATATAGCTTCACCGCTCTGTGCAATCGTGAACAGTGTATTCGCTACAGGACAGTTTCCAGATAAAATGAAACTGGCGAGAATCATTCCAGTGTATAAATCCGGAGACCGCCAAGATGCATCCAATTATCGGCCAATCGCCATACTGCCTGTATTTTCTAAACTGATTGAAATGTTGTTGGCCTCAAGAATACTAAATTTCTTTGAAGCCAATAACTATTCAAACAACAGTCAATTTGGGTTTAGAAAGGGGTTGAATACGATCGACGCCATAGTAAATTTTCTAAATTTCATACAAGATTCTTTAGAGAATCATGAACATTGCGGTGCGCTGTTCTGTGACCTTAGTAAGGCATTCGATTGCGTACCACACAAAATACTTCTAAAAAAACTTGAATATTATGGACTGAGAGGTGTTCCGTTAACGCTGATGCAATCCTACTTCACGAATCGTCAACAATTCGTCGACTGGCAATATAAGCTCAGTAATGTAGAAGTAGTACCAGATATTGGAATTGTCCAAGGCAGTATTTTAGGTCCGCTACTATTCCTAATATTTGTGAATGACCTGCCCTCCAACTTGAATTGCCATTCGACTCAGTTCGCAGACGATACGGCACTGGCAGTTGCAAGCAAAGACATACAAGTTATGAATGAAAAGAGGCAAAATGCTTATAAACAAGCTGAAGAGTGGTTCCTCGCCAATAAAATTGTTCTGAATAAAAACAAAACTGTTTCTATTAATTTTACAGCTAGTAGAAGACATGTTGAACTTCAAGGCGGTGAAGTCAAATACTTGGGACTAACAATGGATAGTTTGCTGACCTGGGCCAAACATATAGAGTTGCTATGCGCAAGGCTCTCGAAAGCCATTTATGCCATTAGAAGAATTAGATCCATAATAAACCAGGAATGTGCCAGGGAAACCTACTTTGCTATGTATGTTCCATTCTGTACTTTCATACGGAATATTAGCTTGGGGACATAGTGCACACACTTCTAAAGTTACGGATCTACAAAAGAAGGCGGTTAGAGCAATAGAAGGAGTCTCACCTCGGGAGCCTTGCAGGCCGCTATTCATAAAACACAAAATTTTGACTGTCACAAACATTTATATTTGGCAACAAGCTATTGCGGTGCATGCGGATAAAACTAATCATTTATTGAGAAGTGATGTCCACGACCACAATACGCGGAATAAAAATGCAGTGATATGTCCAAAAATCAAACTTAAATCATCGCTAAGAACTACATTGGGAGCCAAGATCTATAATAAGCTACCTGATGGATGGAGATGCAAAACAAGATTCTCCTTTAAAAATATTGTTAAAAATTATTTACTAAATAATCCCTATTATTTTATAAATGAATTTTTAGAATAATTATGTATTGTAAATGACTTAAATTGTAACTATTGAATTTTAATAAAGTTCTATTCTATTCTATTCTATTCTATATATATATATATATATATATATATATATATATATATATATATATATATAGAAAAAACTGAGATGTTAGTGCAAAAGTACTTGGTATAATCATAACTTTTTGTGATTATAGTAACTTTCCGGAATAACAAAAATCAGCACTATGAATTTACCACTGGATAATAAGTCATTTTTTTCAGAAGACATGTTGATTAACTCCATTCTGTAGTTCATATGTTCCAGAGTTTTTGGAGTTAGTCACTGTGTGCACTGAATTGCTCATATATAAATACATACTGGGTGGCACAGAACTTGACGTAAAGCCAAAACAAGCTGCTAGTTGTGACTTTAGCAGTCCTGAAAAAAGCTAGAAAAAAGCATTATTTCTCTTTCGCACGTTAACGGTTGCGCGTACGACAAGCAATTATACAACTGTGAATAAATGTACTCGGTTTTAATTTTTTTACTCGAAAATTTTCAGCAATAAAATTATCAAGTATTTTACCATTTTGCAATCCTGATTGAATGCGCAAACGTTTGATGGAATTTGCCCACACACTTTAGTACTTTTTTTTTTTTTAAAAGAGAGCCGCTCAAAGTCGACCGCTTTATAAAAAAATTCAATTTAATTTAACAAAACTATTATGTCTTGAAAACTTGGGGCAATTGCATTTTTTTTTACTGTGGTCTTAGAAATGATTATCACATTTTCGGTTCTAAAGTTTAATTAAATGAACAAGATTAATAAAAGTTAACCACAATAACCGAAAAGGGCAGAATTTTACCAAAGCTTTAAAAAACGCTAATAATTTATAAACGATATGATATTTTTATTCTAAATTTTTACAGGATGGTTATGGTCGCAATACTATCACTTGTTTCTGCTTGACGTCAAGGTCTGGAACATTTTGTGTATATGTTTAATAATCAAAAAGTATCTTTTAGTATGATAGGTACCAAAGATTTGCTACCGAAGAATTTGTTTTACAATCTGGTGGTGTTCTGTGTCCTCAGCCAGGATGCGGGATGGGGATTTTAATGGATCCTGATTGTAGAAAAGTTCAATGTCTTAATGGCTGTGGTGTAAGTTTTTTGAAATAGTTTCATTATTGTTCTGTCTATCAAATTTAAATTGAATTTTTTCAAAAATAATTACATGAACTACGGTTGTGAGTTCAGTTATTTAAATGTTTTTCTAACTGTTTTGTTATCGACTGAACATTTTTACACGAACGAACTCAATATGTTCATAGGAACTTTGAAACTTATCGCAATGCATATGAGCATATGACCAAATGTCTCGATTCCTTCATTTGTTATTATAAACTCAACTATACTAAAAAAATATCTTATAGTAATAACATTCTTAATAAATTGCTATAATAAAAGTATATGGTGATTATTTGCCAACAAATTTTAAAAAAATGTATTAGTTGTTAAGCAACAACTTCAATTCCTATATAATATACTAGCTGACCCAGCAAACGTTGTTTTACTAAGTAAGGTATTTCTAAACAATTTTTAGAGAATTAAAAAAAATAATGATTTTAAGTGTGTAAGGATGTGTTGTTTGAATGCTGTAGACAATGAGGTAATATAAAAGCAGGAAAACTCCATAGTCTACTTGCTTAATATTATATAATTTATATTAACAGCATTTATTTGACCATATTTTGTTAATACAATTAAACTGGAAGTTTTACCAACTACGGAAAGCATGCTATAATCCAATCCAAGACATTTTTGGTCTTTTGACTTATATAGTCATTACAAACTCCAATTAATCGCATACTGATTACGTTTCAAGTTCTGAGAAGTTTTAAGTAACATGCCATGAATTAAAGTTCATTTAGTAAAAATTATATATTTAGGGCAGGGCTGGGCACAAAGGTCCAATTTACTTTTAGCGAATATAAATTATATTGTAAAAACCAAATCTATTATATCACAACAAATAACACATATATAACGAACAATTATCTCACTATGTTCAGTAAAACTGCCAGCTACTTCATCATTATAGACATGTATTTTTTGCTGTTTTCCAAATATTCAAAAAATCTATTTCTTTTTACGTTATAGGCATGGTAACTTGGGGCGGTCAGGTGGTAAACAGGTTCAATATCATATTTTATTTTCAAAGGTATTTTACAAAATAATTACATTATTGAACTAATGCAAAATATAAGTTCCATTGGCGCATTTTTTACACAGATAACACTGTAAATAAACTTGATCTGGTATTTCATCAGCCAGGGTTAATGTTCAGTTGGTCCTTTTTAACCCACCCAGGTGTAAGTTTTTAAAGTGGTTATATGAAAAAACTTGAATCTCACTTAAAATTACCTTTACACTTTATAAAATAATTAAATAACGTATGGTTAAAAATTATCTTAAGGCCTCATAAACTAAACCACAGTGCTTTTACATACTTTTGTCATGTATTATTTATCTCTCGTTTATCTCCTGATAGCAAAGTCGTATAAAACAAGGTGATGGCTGGTAGTACATCTTTTTCCCTTTACTTTCAAATATCATTGTTGAACAACGCTTAACTTTACTGGTTTTTGAGATATCGGTGATGGACCTTCTTAACCCCAGACCTTTTTACATACTAACTATCCATTCTTCGATAAAATCATAGCAAATTTTGCCAGTTTATTCTTCAAAATTAATCATTAGTGAATTATATTTTACATTGCATTATCAAATGGTTTCTAGCTTTTATATTTTTTAATTTGTTGACAAATTTAATGAAACATGAACGATGCCTGACTGTATCTATAATTTATAGGTTTGACATATCGTTTGGAAGAAATTCGTTCAAAGTAGGACATTTTTCAAGACTTATAAATATATACACAAGGAATCTTTTTTCTGCTAAACTCGTTCTAATACTGGAACTGTTGATACATTCAATAGAATGTATTCTATTTATAATCAGTTTTCAAAATATTTTATTCTAGAGAACTTGTAATTTTGTGCATGGACATTATTGACGTTTTTGCAGGTGTCTGTTTCAAAGTAGTAATTTTATTATCAGCCAACTTTCTTATTTAAATTGTAGAGTGTTATAACTCGAAATAAGTTATTCGGCAGCGTCCCCTTCAATTGATTCCAAAGGGTCTGTTCGTGTTTTGGTATTTGAAAGATTTTGATGTCATTTTACAGTTTTTTTCAAAAAAATTCGGGTGGCCCCTTTATTTCAAAGTCACTTTTTGTCACAACTGTTGAAGATATTGACACAAATAATGCTATTTTATTCACATCGGTGTGGACTATATCATTAATAATAAATAATGTTGCATAATCATTTGTTAGTTTATAAAAAAGTGAAAACAATTTTTTGTTTCAAATTTTCGGGTAGTGCGGTTGTTTGGACAAATTTTTAATTAGCATTGTTAGAGAGGCCGTGTCCATGTGCTAGAACACATTCAAAAGATGAAATAACCTGAGCAAGTACACGCTTGCGCTCATAGAACACCCGCGTAGGTCGTCTCTCAATTGCAAAGGCGAACAGAGCCACTGTTCGAGTGCTCGCAACGCGCGTCTTATAACAAATTTTGTATATTGAACAATTCTATATGAAACATTTAGTAAAGCACTATATTTGTACATTTATATTTTGAATTTTTTTATATTTCTGTAAGCATATATATATTTATTTATTTAAATTTAATTTAATTTTATTTATAAATTTAAATTTTTTAATTACGCATTTATAAAAAAATTTAAATAAAGAATGTAAAGTTTCTATGCGGATGCGATTTGAAGTAATTTTTCACCTTTGAACAACCTGTGGATTAGCATGAATATTTCAAGACCAAATCTGTTCAGCCATTTTAGACTTTTAGCATACCTAACATAATACTGAGCTCTATTTTTATTATATATAAGAAATAGATAACAATCTTTGTATATTATATAATTATATAAATTTCAGTTTGTGTTTTGTCGATCATGTTTGCAAGGCTACCATATAGGGGAATGTTTACCAGATACAAGTTCACTGCAACCTTTGATGAGTTCTTGTGAATATACTGTGGATCCGAATAGAGCTCAAGTTGCCCGTTGGGATGAGGCAACAAAGGTTACTATAAAAGTATCTACAAAACCATGCCCAAAATGCAGAACTCCAACTGAAAGAGATGGTATCTATAAAGCATAAAATTTTGCAAATATAATAAATTAGATTATATTTTTTTAATTTCTGTTGTTGAGTTCTGTTATGAATTGCAGTGCATTTTTTATAGTTTATAGTTAGGAAGTTGTTTTTACAGTTTCTTTATATATTTTCTATTTATAAATGACTGCTTAAACTTTTCTTAACTTATTCAATGAGAAAAATTTACTGATGCTTTAAAGATGATGCGAGGCAAATAATCCCATATCTCACGATTTAGATTAGAAAATGTTGGGCCAATGTTGTACAATCTGTCGCAGTGTTTGTGAACAATTTTTCCACACAGTGTACAGTTCATAACAAAAAATAAATAAAAAAAATTGGTGTTTCGTATAATTAAGTATTTTGTGATACTTGCGATTACCGTTGCAGGCCATGACCGTGATGCGTATTATTTGCTTTTGACCCGATTATCGTTCGCGGACAGTATATTTACTTTTGGCCTAGCCATGGTACGCGGGCTATGCTCGTCATTGTAATTTAAGTGGTTAAAGATACCGATAATTTATCAATCACTTGAATTTAGTGGTAAAGCTGACCAAATTTTGACCTTTTTTTAATATTATATGATATATATATTTAGTGTTGTTTATTTAACTTAGGTGGATGTATGCATATGGTTTGTACCCGAGCTGGATGTAACTTTGATTGGTGTTGGGTATGCCAAGAACCTTGGACAAGAGAATGTATGGGTTCTCATTGGTTTGGCTAAAATGTGAATGGATTTTGTAAGTAATCTTATCCAAACTCATATTATCTTAATTGTAATAATTTCAATTTAAACAAATAAAAAAATACCATATAATCTAGTTCTTTTTATTTGGGTGCATTGTGGATATTTAATCCCAATTTATTTTCTTTTTTAAAACTCTTCCTTCTTTATACATCACTGTGTAATTTTGTACTTTTGTGTCTACGCATATTTTTTTCCCTGTCCAGTAATGCATCCTACAGAAGCATTTTTCAAAAACATAATATTGTCTTATGTATTTTTTAGCTGGCAACATTATCTTTCATCAAAAACAATTCAGAACTTTTTTACTTGGAATCGAGCTTCTCCAACTACAGCACTAGACACAAACTTATTTGTGCCCCCAAAATAAGTGCCACCCGGGGCATTTTTTAGTTTACTTATACATAGTTGTAAAAAGCAACTTATTCATTTTAGATTTATTAACTTCCGTAGGGTATGTTATAGTAATGGGCCGAAAATCGAAAATGAAAATTTTTGCATTTCTTCACGTTTTGAAGGCTTCTGAACATTTTGGCATACCTCAGAAAAAATGGAAGTGTGTTTGTTTTGTGCTCGAGATGTGCTGATTAGTTTTTTGGCAAATATAATAGAAATCGAGTTTTTGAGAGAATGGAATATCCGATTTGAATGATCCAAAAAAATCAATTTGTAATGATGAGGAGAAATGATGATTAGTTTTACCGATTACCGAGCAAAATGTGCAAAAAATATCTGTTTTTGAGAGAATTAAGCATCCGATTTGAATGATTCAAAAAACTTTCTACGTGGATTTTAATTTGAATTTTGCCTAAAGTTCAAATGCTCACTATATACTTGAAATAAATAATTATTACTTTGTAATTCAGTTTATATATTTCTTATGAATATTAGACAACGTCCTTCATTTTAAATTTGATTGATTGAGTTTTGTTTATTTACTTTTCTGTAAACTTATATAAGTTACAGTATTTATAATTATCTATTTGAAAACATTTAAATTCCTCAAATATATCATTACTGTACGGGAAGTTTCAGCAATTTGCCTTAAGTTATACAATGCCATACACCGCTAGTTTTCTTTCTTGAATTATAAATGATTATTATGATTGTTAATATTTGATTTATATAAATCAATATTAACTATATGATTTCGAATTTTATTCCTCGGTGTATATAAATGTATATTAGTGTAAAGCAGTTGATTTCCAACCTTTTTTGGGCCCCCCATACATTTTTTGTTCCTGAAAAAATGTGAATGATAACTTTTAAGATGAAATCGCTATCATAAGTAAAATTTCGGAATAAGCCAACAAACGGAAGTTTCAAACTAATTTTATTACTGTTTTTTTTTCAAAATTTATTTAATGCAATACTTAAGCCAAAATAAAGATTTTATATTAGGTTCTAACTTACTAAACTTTTTGTACATATGATTACATTTAGGTATTTGGTTTCAGTTTCTTTATAAAGCCATTTCTTAACGAATCTACTTAGCTAGTTGACAGCTAAGTAAGTTCGCATATTTTTCTATAAATTGGTAGTTATCATTGGCAACTAAGTAAGTGCGAATTTTGTTATAAAATCAAAGACAATTTTTGCGTGAAATTAAATAACTTTGTTCTGTATACCATTTCGATCGATAACCTTTCGTTATTTTCCAAGAAGCATCATTATCCCATGTTTATAAAACTTCTAGTTTTTATTAACCAAAACTGAATTAGGCACAGTCATGATTTTTTTTAAATTCAAGGGTTTTAAATCTGATGGTTTGTGATCAGGATTATTTGGTGGATGTAGAGAAGAATTTCAACCAATCTCCAATAACTTTTAAACATTGCTAAATTGTTTCTATTAGCCGAAACGATTATTGCTTTAATTAGGTCGTCCAAAACTTTAACTGGACAATCAGAGCAGCATTGAGTGTATAATCACCAGAACGACATTTTCAAAACCAATTTTAACATAGCTACTTTTAAGGGCTTCGACACCATAGACAGCACCTATTCTTTGGGAGCACCGTTTTACCCTTTTGCAGAAATAAAAATGCAAAATATGACTAAAATGTTTGTTTTGATATTCCATCTTTCAACGCTTTACATAACCGATCAATAAAGTATTATCTACTAATCGACAGCTAAATTTCTCACATACAATACTACTTCAATCTCAACAAGCCTAAAGAATCATTTGAAGCAATCTAAGAGTAAAAGCCGTACTTAGTGTCAACCTTGTACTATTTAAGGATACAATAAAAATTAGTTTGTTTTAAATTAATTCCATCTTTGGCCCTAGTCACTGACAGTTAGTAAAAAACTCACGTCATATTTATGATTTTTCCGCTTTTAAAGCCATGCATAAAACTCTTCACATAAAGCTTCGCAATTAACTTTAGTATTAAATATTACATTTCTTGTGCATATTTCAAGTCGAGTCTTGTCACTGACCTTAAAGCACTTATGCCAAGCAATCAGAAACTTGATTTACCTAATTTTTTTGGTAATTTTTGTAAATTGGAATATAGAAGTTTAATATAATTATGAAGGGCTACTGGAATCGAAAGAATTGTTGCATTCCGCAACATTGTCCTTCATAATGTTTTTGTTAGTTTTATATAAAGTTTATTGCATATATCATTTTTAGATTATAATTAAGTTGTAATTTTATTATAAGGTGATGAGAAAAATTCAAATTCAAGTTAATCCTTTTAAAAAGTCAAGTAATCCCGGCAGAAAATTCTAACATCTTATTATTCTAAATCTAAGAAGCATTTTTTTTGTTAAATGTTTTACCGATACTATACTACATTACATTAAAATCACCAAAATTTTTCAATTGCTCCCCTGAAATTACAAATTGCCCCTCTGTGGGGCGAGCGCCCCACGTTGGGAAACACTGGTGTAAAGGGTATGGGCGTGTTTCCATACAGAATTGGCCCCACCCTGGTATTTAAATAATTTTGATGCCATTTTATAGGTATTTTCGAGAAAATTCGAAATACCAAATTTTAAATCCGTAGCTCATCATTTGGCCGAGATATCAGTGAAAACATGTGAAAGTGGCCCATTTTTTCAAACTCACTTTTTTCGGAAATATGAGAGATATCGAAATACTGTTAACGTCATTCTATTTATACTGACCTTGTCTATGTTGTTCATAACAAATAATGTGAAAAAATTATTTGTTAGTGCGTGAAAAGGTGAAAATGATTTTTCATTTTCCATTTTCTACCAGTGCGGCTTTTTTGACTACTTTTATATTAGCATCATTCGAAAGCCTGTACATTTTTCTTCTGTTATTCAAAAATTCATTTAAATCTAAGTGGAACTTTGGGAAAAAAGTTGGAAAAACTTAAGCTAGTACGCGCGCTGCCGATACAAGAACACCCATATGAAGTCGCTTTGCAAGAGCGACGAGCAAGCATAAGGCTCGTCGTTATCGCGCGTCTCGACAAATTATGTATATAAGTATGGAAATATTTATTAAAAACCAAAATTATCTATAAAATGCCATCAAAATTATTTAAATATGGGGCCAATTCTGTATGGAAACACGCCCAGACCCTTTTGAATTCTAATTTAAGAACAGGATAATAATTTTATTTTATTGTATTCATTAAAATTCGTTGAATTTGTATAAGCATCTTTACGATTTTGTTCGGCGATTTTTCCTATTTTTTTTATACCAGTTTATAAATGTCATTTATTTTGAAAAGTTTATATGATTACTTTGAAGTGCTATATCAATATTTTTTTAAATCAGCAATGTTTTTTTTAAATCAGGGCTGACGGAAGGCGGTCTGCCTTAGGGCATTATATAAATATGTTAACGAACGCATATAAATATGTATAAAAAAATTACTTGTGTATTAATTAACATTGATTAAATGACTTAATAATTTATTAACTTTCCGTAGGGTGAGTTATATATAGTAATCGCAAAAAATTGAAAGTAAAAATTTATATATATATATATATATATACTAGATGACCCAACAGACGTTGCCTGTACCCACCTCTACGTTTTTTTAATATCCTATACTAATATTTATACCGTTCAGTTAAAAATAATCATTATTGTTTTTCGAGTTACTATTTACACCAATATATGAGTGATGTTAAATGTAGTACTGTTTCAAATAAAATGATTATTCTCAATTCCCACAGTTAACACTTTAATTATCCCTTTAACAAATATTAAAATATGTTCAATAAAATTATATATTAAAAATTATACACTGCGATTTATAGAACAAATTTATTTCCAATAGCTCAATTTATTTTATTGAGTTTAAGGGTTATACAATATTTTTAGACATACCTGTAGATGTGGATATTTAAATGAATGATTTTTTGTTTACTCACGGCTAAAACATTGATTTTCCAAATTTATCACCATGTATTTATTGTCATAGCATAGATACACGTGTTGAAAATTGAAATCTTTTAAAAAGTATAACAAATTCAGAAAGAATTAATATATAGCATGCGGTCAAGGTACAATATCACCTTGGATTTTTCTACCCAAAATAATTGCTTCAATAATGTTGCCTACAATTTTTATAATTTTGTATCATATTTTAACTGGCTTTTAGTATTTTAATATCCAAAATGGAATTTTTCACACTAATAATTCAATATACATTATTACTTAAGTTCATATTTGAAGTGAATTAATTTGTCAAATTTTGTTCACATGTGCTCTATTCAACCTACTATCAACAAAATTATTGTAGTAAATCGAAAGACACTCCGGTTGGACAGCCGCGCACTCTTTAAACAATTAGAACTCTATCAATATTTGTGTAACAAAAAAATAATAAAAAGTAATAATTAGTCTGAAAAATACCTTGAATTTTCATATATATACTTTTATACGTATTCTTTCAGAGATATTATAATGAGAAATTGTTTTTTTTTAATGGATTTTTTTATGAAATCATGAGTTTTTTGTAAATCGTTTGTACTAATGTAATGGTATTT